AATTTCATCTTGACTCAAAATGTAGGATAAGGACAAGGGGAGAGTTCTTATTAAGGCCTATTTTAAGAAGATGATTAAAAATTAATTTTTTTATTATTTTTAAAAAAACATTTAAAAAATATGAAAATTAATATGACTTAAAATAGGTTAAAAGTTGAAAGATAACTTTTAAAAAAAAAATCATAGGCCGCAAGACTAATTTTCTAATGCTAAGAGTGTGTTTGGTTTGTGTTTGTAGAATAGTTTTTGAGATAAAATGTACGAAAACTTATTTAGTTTGCCTTTTTTCAGAAATGGTTTTGGAAAATTATTTTGAAGAGAAAGTTTTAAAAAAAGTGATTGATTTGATGTGTATGAGAGAGAGTGAGTGATTTTGAAAAGTAGGTAATCAAACAAAATTTTGAGATTTTTTTTGAAAAAATTTATTTAGCTTGATTACTCTTAAAAATTTGTTAATAGAGAATTTTTCCCAAAAATTTTTCTGAAAAAGAAACCAAACAAGGTCTTTCTTTGACCTCCATCTCAATCCCAACATCCAAGGCCCATCATAATCTGGAGGGCTTATGAATCCCCTCTCTATCTTTCAAAACAAATACAATATTAGTGGGTCCCACCTCCATCTCAATCATATTCTTTCCTCCATCTTTCAAAACAAACACAATATTAGTAGGTCTCACATCCATCTCAATCACATTTCTTCCTCCATCTCTCAAAACAAACAGGCCTTAAAATCAAATGACAAAAATAGTTTATTAATTTATTTCAAACTGATTAAGGGATCGGTGTCTAATTTAGAAATGATCTATTCCTTTTTGACTAAATCATTTTGCTATTGATTTTTATCTTTTCTTAACATGGATTATCAATTAAATTACACTAAACAATGTGAAAAATTAAAGATAAAAATAGATATAATTTAAAACTATAAAAACCAAATTTACATAGATAAAAACAAAAAAAAAAAAAATACAATTTGTCCATTGATTTATTCATGATATTTGCCTGCATGCCAGCTTTTACTTGCAACCCATCTGGATGTTCCACATCAGCTGTGCACACAAATTGTGGACACAACAAATCAAGTAGTTAAATCTCATCACCATATTTAGATAAAGTTTTATTTTGATATTTAACTTAAAATTTACTCCATTCGTCCCAAAATAATGGTCCCTTTTGGGGAATCCAACTTTTTTTGGTAGTACAATTATTGCATTTGAAAAAAGTTGATTTTCCAAAATTATCCTTTTGATAGTACATTTTTTGAGAATATCAATGCATAATTGTACTTTTTATGTTGTTTATTAATTTAAAAGAAGGGTAAAATAGGAAATTTATATTATTTTTGTACTTGATTTTTGAAGAGGGACTAATATTTTGGGACAATGAAAAATGGAATAAGGGACTAATATTTTGGGACGGAGGGAGTATAAAAACTTTGAGCCACTATTATGAGAGAGGCAAATAATTGAGCCAACAAAGTACAAAAAGACGGACAAAATGAAATGTACAATCACAAAGATAACAGGATGAAAAGACTTTATATTTAAAATCTCTTGAAATTTGAGTTTTGATACTATATTAGATTAAAAATTATTTAAAAAGTATATATTGATAGAAAATGAACTGAACAATTTTATTTTTTAATTTTTTGATTGGTAAAAAAAAATCATTAAAAATTAAAATTAAGAATACAAGGAAATAGAATACACAAAGAGAGAAAATGTATAAATTCTCTCACTACTTTGACCTGCATCCACCCAACTAATTCCTTAATTTCACAATTTTTTTTATAAATTATAAACAAAAAATAAAAAGAAAAAATGAAAATGAAAATAACAAAAGGAGTTAAAAAGATCTTAAATACACAAACGATTAGCCCACTACACCAGATTGAGCCACACGGATCCACCATCATAATAGTTGTTGGTGATAATTACAAATAAAACACTGAAAAATACAAATAATAAAAATTACAATAACTATTGTAAGGGCTGAGGCGCAGGAAATTCACTCTCTTTAAGGAGATTCAAGCTCTCTGCGGTTAGGCAAAGCCTCACACCGGTGCAGCAAAAAAAATCTTGACTTGTCCCCCAGAATACAACAACCCGACTAAGTCATATGGTTCACCAATACTACACAATTGGTTGAACCCAAAGTTTTATCACATACATCCTTTTTTATTTGCCTGATAATCTTACACAAAACATAATAAAGCAACAAAACTTCTCCTTACATCCAAGATAAGAAGTAAGATCAATTTATAAGAGATGAAAGCTTGGTGGACAAGTTTCTTGGAGGAGGATTCTTGGAAGTTGCTTGGAGGCTCCTTAGAAGTAGCTTGGAGGATAAAACTTGACTCTTGGAAGACTTAGAAGAAGACTTGACTAGGCAAAGACTTGGAAGACTTGAAGGATTCTTATACACCAAGAAAGGATTAACTTGGAGGAAAAGAAAACAAATCAAACCAATAACACATTATAATATTAAAATATCTGTTGACAATAGTTATGAGCCTTATTTATAGAAAACATTCAAATGGCCAACTTATGAAGTATAGGTGTTGATACAAGTACGAATATGGATATGATATGTTAAAATTTAAAAAATAAAATAAAATACAAATATGATTAAAGTACAACAAATATTTATTTATTCATTTAAATTTATAGCTAAACATCACACTTACAAATCAAAATTCAAAACAATAGCAATAAAGAGAAATTATAAAACCAAAATAAATCAATATTCAACAATACCAATACAATACTAAAGTAAAATCATGAATATGATGAACTCATATTCATAATTATCAAGACAATAATTTGTGAATTCTTTTACTTTATTCAAGTATATAATTTTTAAATATTCAAACAACAATTTAAAAATATCAATATTATGATAGTAACAATGAACATCAATATAATTTTCAATAATTCTATAAACATTAATGTTTTTTAAATTTTATATAGTTATAATTATTTACTAAGTATACAATAATAAGTAGAAGGTAAAGTTACTCAATAACAGTGTAAATAGTTAACGGTTTCAAATTACTTAAACTTTTTGAAGATGATTAAAGAAAAATAAGACTGTAGACTTATATCAAATTAATTTCAACTTCTGAAAAAATAAAAAATAAATCAACTGTTGTAGAGTACCCACCCCGCACCCATGAAGTACCTCCTACGTGCCTATGGCGTACTCAACTTTTCCAAACCATATGCGACGTGTCCGGTACGCATGTAACTATACCAATACAAATACTCGCACCTATAAATACTCGGTACACATATCTGGTACGCTTATAATTATACCAATACACGTACTCGCACTCAATAAATACTCAATACTTGTAGGAAAATATTTTTAAAATATTCGTATAAGTTGCTCCCCACAACCTTTTTCTCTCCAGCAATATTAGGTATCATAAAAAGTCTTTCATGAAAATAGTCATAAAAGATTTGTGACTTTTAGATTACACTTACAATAAAGCACCACACACTAATCAAGGTAATATAAAGGTCACAAATTTTTCATGATCATTTTCATGACAAAATTTTCATGATCTCTAACATTTTTCTTTTCTCTCGCCTCAATCTCCATCTTATTTCACCTCAAAATAGCCACGATTTCCGCTTCTTTCAATCACATCCCACTAAACGTCTATTCTTTTTCACACATTTGATCCCCACCATCTCACACTTTGTTCTATCTTCACCTTTACCAGAATCAAGGCATCCACGTTTTTCCCATCTTCCCACCACATCCCACTAACCACATTTTTCTATTTTCTAGACACAATAATTCATACAGTCTTGAAGTTTTGAATTGAATTTCTTTAAAATTCTAACAGAGCTAGATCTTATATGACCCCTTGGAACAAGTCTTTACCTTGAGTCTATTTCTCTCTCTTTTTTACCTTCATATGCAATCAGACTGCATATATAGAAGGGTATTAGAGATTTGTCTCACATCGTTTCTCTCAGTGATCCAAACTTAGTCATATAATCTAAAGATCCATCCATACAATGTCAAATAATTTTGGATTGGATTGCTTGGATACATCGATGGATCTAACCAATGTCTTGCTGCTACTGTCAAGGATTCATGCAGCAAAGTTAGCAAAGATGTTCCAACTGTTAAATATGATATTTGGTTACTCATTGATGCGCATCTATTGAGTTCTATTACCATAACATTGTCACCTTGATCCTTCACCTCTGCGACCACTTCTAGAACTGAATCTTCCTCCATTGTTATTGTATCGAAACTGATTTCTGCCTCTAGATTGACTGTTACGATTAAAACCTCTATATCCGAAGGCTGGGGAAGAGATTGAAGGAGTACTTGCTCTAGTAATTGCATAAGCAACATTGAGGTAACTCAAGGATGAATGCTTATAAATTGTTGATTCAACATGAACTTATTCGGAGCACAATAAAGAAGACATTTAATCCATGAAATTTGTCTAGCACGACAAATAGTTGTTTTGAATGCATTATACTGATTATTAGGTGGGAATAGAGGAAACAAGAACAAGAGATGAGGAAGAGGAGGAATGAGTTGATGAGCTAGAAGAGTGTGAAGGATGACTATAAGAGTGAGTTTATAATTTTGCTTGTAAATGACCAAAATGACACTAACAAGTTTACAATTTTACCTATAAAAACATAACGCATGCCGGTTATATACATATTTCTCATCAAAAAATACCAACAATTGTATATACATATTTCTCATCAAAAAATACCAACAATTGTAATCAATTGGACCATTGAGACAAAATTATAAATTCAGGGTCAAAATCGAACTAATTATAATTATAATGTTCGAAATGACACTGGGCAAAAATATAAGAACTATCGATGTAATTTGTCCTATGTATATATATATATATTCTTACTTTATAAGTGTTTGTTGTATCCTGAAAGAAATGAATTAAAGTTCATACATTCAATTGAAGTTGACATGGTGTTTTGGATGGTGTGCATCTCATATAGGTACCAAATGCAATTGGATCTCTTCTCGGAGCAACTCAGCTGGTGCTATACGCGATTTACAGTAGATCTAATCCATCCAAAAGTGTATCTGATAATGATGATGATCATCTGGAGGATCAGGATGCATGGCTACATGAGCACCTCCTCCCCTCTTCTAGTCCATTGCATGACAAGAATGAAGAATAGAAACCTAACTCACATCAGAAATAGCTAATTGCAACAAAAGAAAAAGGAAAAAAAAAAAAAGGGGGGGGGGGGGGGGGAAAGAAGAAGAAAAGTGCTCATAGTAGAAAGTACAACTATATCATATATGCCTTTTCATTTATTTTTCATTTCCATTGTGTGTATATAGTGATATGAGAAAGGGGGAGAGATTATTAATTAGAAATAGATGAAGAGATTATGACTATGTTTGGATCAATAATTTGAGTAAAAATTTGAAGGAAAAAAAAAAATTTGAAGAGAAAACTTGATGAAATTAGGAAGGGAAAAGTGAATTTCCTTTTTTCCTTTTCTATCTACAAAATCATTTATTTCTCTCTTATTTTTTCCCATTCCTCCACAAATCCCTCCTCAAATTTTGATGGAAACACAATCTATATGTCTATTCATTTTTAGCTGAGGCTGCTCTGTTTTGCGGCTATTTGTTGAAGACTGCTACTTGGTGCACAAGAGGATGAGCTGCAGTTTTGCATTGATTTTTGTTGATGGCTGATGCTTTTGTTTGTTGATTGATAATGATAGTCATGATGTGTATGCTTGCAGGTGCTTCACATGTTATGGCTTGGGATTTTTGTTTTTGTTTTTGTTTTTGTTTTTGTTTTTTTTTTTTTTGTTTTGGTTTCTTTATTGTTGGTTTCTCACTGTGTGCTTTACATATTGGAGCTTGTCTTTCGGTATCAATCTAAATGGGATCGTTTAGTTCAGCTATAATGCTTTGTGCACTTGCCCTTCTTTATTGATTTTTTTTCTCTGTACACTTTGTATCGTTGACTTCATCCATAAAGATTTTTTGTTGATAAAAAAAAGTATGTCCATTCAATTTTTCATTTCTATATGCAGTAGCATTTCTGCTTGTCTTTTGTTAGTAGTTTTAGGACCAAGAATCTAGATATAAAAAAATACCTAGAAAGCCAATGTGTATAATTCAGATTCAACTTTTAAATTATATGGTGACTCATACTTAAAATAAATTTAAATCACATTTTTCATTATTATCAATAAATATGATTGGTCCTGTTGATATAAATATGACTTTTTGCATCTTATAAATTGATCCATAAAAACTGAATATCTCCTACATAGAAACATATTCAATTTAACCTACTGTTATTATTTATTGATGATATATATGTAGTCAAAATTTTCATTTATTGATACTTGAAAAGTTATTTGCTTTTTGATTTCCGTTGTGGGGGGTTATTCTTTTTTTTTTTTTTTTTTGTTGTTTGTTGTTTTCTATTGTTATTTTAATTTTTTTTTACATGTAATTTGACAAATTTAAATTAATTTTGTCAATGTAAAACAAGCTCTGCTATTAATATGAAATTCAAAAAAAAAATTATGATTTCTTCACTGAGTTTGCAATTCTAGATCAATGAAATTTCACTGAGTTTGGTCAGTAAAATTTTACTATTACTGACAAAGTCAATAAAATTTCACTGAGTCTAGTAAGTGAAATTCATCAAATTTAGTGAAATTTTATTGAATATAGTCACTAAAATTTTATTGTGCGACAACAATAAAATTTCATTGTTTTAAAAAAAAAAACTAAAATTTATTAAAACATTGTAAACTGAAGGCCAATTCCAAAAATTTGACACCTATTGTAACATTAAGAAGTAAATTTTCAAATTGAGAACTCAAAAAAAAAAAAAATTGTGGTGGTGTTATTCAAAATCAAACGACTTTTAGTCAAAACTAAAGAGATCACTAAACAAATCATAATATATCAAAATCAAAAACTACTTGAGACATAATCAAATATTTTTTCAGTCATAATAAAAAATAATAATTACAATAGTTGATAACTAATTTGGGTCATTAATAAAAAAATTTCATATTTTTATGCAATATTTTACTTGTACTATATATGCATGTCTACATATGTGAACGTCCCTACCATTAAAAAAATAAAAATAAATAAATAAATAAATAAAAATAAATAAATAAAAGGAGGAGGAGGATAAATTATATGAATAGTCCATGCATTTTTTCTATTATCATTTTAGTTATTCTCATTTCTTCTTCTTCAGCTAGCTTTTCATGCTAGGGGTTCTTCTTGGCTGCTTCAGTTATTGAGATATCATTCACAACTACTGGAAATGCATAAGATATGACATTTGCGTAACTTACCCGTTTTTCTCGTCTCTCTGTTCGACTGCCTCGTAGCAATAGACTCTGATTGCTGCGATATTGCTGTGGTTGGTTCTTCTTCAATTGTACCTTTTTTAATTCGTTCTTCTGAGTATATTGGTGCATCAAACTCCACCTGCTGCATTCCAATGGCTTTGTTCTGTTCACTAGAGTCTTCAAGCTTGAGTTGTTTAAGCATTTCAGACTCATTAAATGTGACATCTTGGCTAACTATTACTTTACACATAATCAAATATTTCTTCAGTCATAACCAAAAATAATAATTATAATAGTTGATAACTAATTTGGGTCATTAATAAATTTGTCATATTTTTATGCAATATTTTACTAGTACTAAATATGCATGTCTACATATGTCTGCATATGTGATCGTCCCTACCATAAAAAACGGAGGAGGATAAATTATATCGATCGTTCATGCATTTTTTCTATTATCATTTTAGTTTTTGTTATTTTAATTAACTCGATTTTAACTCTTAATTTTAGATTTTGTATCAATTGGTCCAATTGATGACGCCAATTAGAGTTTTTAAAAGAAAATTGTCACTGAATTGGTTGAGCTTAACTCACTAAGTTAAACAAATTATAATTACCAATAAAAGTATAACACATACTGCTCATGTGTACTCTTTCCATAAAAAAACATTAATAATTGTAATCAATTGGACCAAGTTAAGACAAAATCATAAACTCATTGTCAAAATCGAACCAACTAAAATTACAAAGACCAAAATGATACAAGAATCAAAATATAGGAACTACCAATAATTTGCCCAAATATAAATAAATAAGTAAAATTGTACTCCTGAAAAAATTAAACTTGGGAAAAAAAAAAAAAAAAATCAACTGATAACTAGTTTGAATTAACATAGGATATTGACCAAAAACGTTTATGGGAATAGGAGACATAACATCACATACACCGAATCTCAATCAATTTTGGAAACCATACTCTACATAGAAATAGAATGTACAAGTAAGGTAAAGTTCCCTCTCTATATATTGTCAGTTGTTGCAAGTATTGATTACCACTCTATTGCTTTTCTTCTCTCTAGTCTCAATGGCCATCACTGGATTGCTTTTGTCTCTCTTTGCTATAGTTCTTGCCTTGCATTCATGCTATGGTCATCCCCTTAAGGTTTGTAAGTTTGATCAAATATATCAAGTTGGAGATTCGATATCCGACACGGGTAATTTGATCCGTGAGAGCCCTATTGGAGCTGCCACTCCATTCGCTCGCCTTCCCTATGGTGAAACGTTCTTCAAGAATGCAACTGGTCGCTGCTCAAATGGCTTGCTTATGATTGATTTTCTTGGTATGAAAAACTATAAATTTGTTCTTGCTTTATTTCTATATATATTTTTTGTTTATCTGTTGTTTTATGTTTGTTTGTTACGTTTAGTTATAATGTTCATGGTAAACAAGTTTTATGATTAATTGCTTTTTGTGTATTTTGTCATGTTGGGTTGTGGGAAGGGCGTTTTGATTTGTTGGTTTTATTTGTGTTTTTGAGAAAACTTTATGGTACTAGAAAATTGACTTTAAAAAGTATACTATAAAAAAATTTACATTAATGGTATAAATTTAAAGTTGTTCTTCTTGTGTGTGTATGTGTTTACTTTGTCATCTAGCTTACTTTTCGTAGAATTTGGATTTGTAAAAGTTGAATATTGAATTGTAAAAGTTGAATATTGAAGTTGACCCATTATGGGATTAATTTAGATCTATTTTGATGATTTAAACTGTTAACTGATAAAATTATTCATGCGAAAAAACAAATTGATCAAGTATCTATTGCCATATGATCAAATCAATTTTATTCATAGGACATACATATTTTTAAAAATTAATCATCTATTTATTATAAAATATATGTGATTATTTATGCTTGATTAACCTAATTTTTTGCACATATATTTCTCTCAGCATGTCATATAAGATGAATGATTCATGTTACTAAAATGAGTACAAATTGATTTCACAATACACCAACTTCACGTGTCAAGTTGGATATTCAACTTTAACATATCCAAACTCCTTTTTGTATTGCCTAGGTTTGTTTTGAGGGCCTTTGGTATTTTTCTTTTAGCATCATTATGCATCTCCAATAAACTTTTTAGTTATAAAATAAATTGGTTAGAATGTTCTTGACCGTGATTACAGTTGGTGTCAATCATAAATTAATTTTTATGATTTAAAATTTAAAATTATTAATTTTATTAAATTAAAATAAATTGTAAATATGTTTAGTATAACTTTTGATAATTTATCAAGAAAGTTGAACTTGTTTAATTAAATGAATTGTCATGTATTGTTTTTGTTTTTAAATTTTTTTTATGCAAATAATCATAATGCCATCAAAAGTTATTATTAAAAGAGGTAAATCACACCAACGATCTCTATATTTTACCTCTTGTGTTATTTTGATCTCTGTATTTTTAATTGGCTCAATTATGACCGTTTATATTAGATTTTATGTCAATTTAATCCAATTGATAATATCGTTATTGTTTTTTATGGATATTTATTACTAGATTGATTGAGGTTAACTCACTTAATTGAGTAAATTTATAATTTTACTCTTAAAAATATGACATAAGACACTTATGTACGTATTTTTTATAAAAAAAAATAAAGTAATTAATTAAAAATTATAATCAATTGGATTAAATTGAGACGAAGTCATAAATTCATAATCAGAATCGAGTCAATTAAAATTACAGGAACTAAAATGATATAAAAACCAAAATATATAGAAACTATCGTCGTAATTTGTCCTATTAAAAGATATGAGTCTCTTTTGTCCATACATATTTAAGAGCTTTAAATAGATTAAGAAGAATAATTATAAATTATAATTTTAGAAAATTTAACTTTCCGTAGTTAATTAAGTTACAAAGGTCAAATAAATTATTATAATATAAATGTACAGGGAACACTAAGGAGTTATTTGGGGTGTCCTAAATAAATATACTTTGTCTTTTTAGACTAAAAAGTTGAGGTTGAAAATATGAATGTTTAGGTCAACTTTTTATAGAAAAATATGTATTAAAAAATTGTATAAATTAATGTGTAGGAAAAAATTAATATTGAAAATTGTGCAGCCATAATTGTTGACTTTTGATGAATAGTGATAACTTTTTAACTTTTTAACTTTTTTAAGACTTTCCAAACTTAGCCTAATTAACCTTTCCTTCCACACAAATATATTACTTGAGTTAACCTATAATAATGAGTAAACAAATTGAAAAGAAAACACATGTACTTTGGACAGAACTAATCGACACTACTCTTGAAAAAAAATTAAAAAAAATTAAAAAATAATAATAATTTAATCCATGTATCTTTTGAATGCTTTTAGATTTGGAACAGTGCGAATTTATGTCATACTGCTTTTGGTATCTATGGATTGGTGTTTAGCTATGAGTTAGTTGCTGCAATTATGGCTCTTTATAGTAGTGGTGCCCAAGCTTATTTTTATTTTTGATTGTGGTTATTTGGTAGTCTCAAAACATAGTTTCATGATATTTTATGATAATATGATTAGTAAAAAAAAAAAATTTAATTATTTATATTAAATAATTAAAAAATATAAAAATATATAATAAATAATGATTAATTAAAAAATATGATGATGTAATATTCTAAAATTATTATATAATTTTCCGACTCATTATGATATTACAGTTGTTATTTATAACCATCACTCAAGTGGTCTTCATTGTGGGTCAAGCAATGTTTTGTCATGATGATTTTCTTTTGGGATTGGATTGTCTGCAAATGGGCAGTCTAATTGGACTGTCCAATTCGGCTAGTACCTGTTTTGAGTATGTCTTGATAATTTAAATTGTTCAATATGTAAAATTTATTGAGTATTTCATCTTTATAAAAAATTAAGTTGATCAAATATCAACAACCGGTTGATCAAATCATATTCCTGCCAATAATTTTTTTTTAAATCATATTTATCGTTGACAGAAATGTAAACTGATCAACATAATTTTAGAGGAATAAAGTACTCGACGAGTTTTATATATTAAACAGTTAGGATCATCAATTTAGGCTCCCTGATAGGCTCAAGAAGACTCAAACAAGACAGTCCAATTTGATTAAAACTGGAGACAATCTTAGGCTTATTTTATTTTATTTTTTTTGTGTTTTTTCTTATAGTAATTAAAAGTGACTTGATTATGATTTAATTGTAATAAATCCGAAAGATAAGATATGAATTATATAATTTCTTTTAAATTCATGTCAATGGTACTTTGCAACGGGGGTGTTTGGGAATCAAAAGTTGAGGCTAAAATAGCGTTCAATACAAAAAAATCCTTTTAGCCCCACTCTAATCCATTGATTTAACACCAAAATATATATATATAGAATAGCACTCAGTGGTTTCAGCCTACACTGTTAACGTGACAGTGTAGGGACAAGTAGTGACAGCCCATCATTTCAGAAGTAAATGACAATTTTGCCCATTTAGACCTATTTTGAAAAAAATGAGGTTAGGGGCAAATTTGTCATTTCAACTTCAAACATCATTTCAAACACATTTTTCAATACACAACTCAAATAAAAATCCATCCTATCTTTTCAAACACAAAATCTAAAATAACATACTAAAATAATCAAAAAACTTCTAAAATAGCTACTTCCCAAACACCTCCAATATGTTGCTTGGGCATTGTCTCTCATAGTTTTTATTGCATTGAGGCTCCATTTGGCAAGGAGGTTTGAGGCTATTTTAGCCACAAAAGACAAAATAGGCTATTTTAGCCATAACAAACAAAGCATCGCATCCAACCCATAATCATTACACTCTTTTCTCACAAAAAAAAAAAAAAAAAAAACTAAAAAGCCAAAAAGCCTTTTCTAAACCAAGCTTTTTAGTCCAAGTTAAAATAGCCAAAAAGACAACTCACTTCCCAAATTGAGGCTGATCTTATTATGTGATAAATAAAAAAGGAAACATAATTTTGGGGGTTTTTTTTTTCTTCTTCCCCTTTGATTCATCCTGTTTTGGTATACAAACTTGCTCTTATCATTAATTAAGAAAATTATTAAGGATGACACACCAATAAATCTCAAATAGTGATATTATAAATTGTTTGATCATCTCTCTTTTCTTATAGACCCAAAGGTCTCATTCTAATGTGAATTACATAAAGGGCCAGGTATAAATGCGCATGTGTTAAGTATTAAGGGACAAATGTAAATTTTCTCATAATGTTAAAATTACTAAATGTAACACTTCAAAAAAGTTTCTTAGTATATTTTTCCCAAACGTAACACTCAAAAAATGTAAGTCTCCAATGTGATACACTAAAGTGTACTTTTCTCAAACATAACAATATAACATTTTAAAAAAAATTCTTTAGTGTACTTTTTCTAAACATAACACTCTAATCAATGTAACACATAAAAAAATTTTAGAATATTTTTTCCAAACACAACACTCCAATGTAACACACATAAAAATACCAAAAAAATTCTTAATATACTTTTCCTAAACGTTACACTCCAATCAATGTAACATTAAAAAATTCCTTAGTGTATTTTTTCAAAACATCACACTCCGATGTAATACACTAAAAAGTTTCTTAGTATACTTTTTTCAAATGTAACAATGTAACATTTCAAAAAACTTCTTAGTATATTTTTTTTCAAACGTAATATTCCAATCAATATAACCCACAAAAACTCCTTAGCGTGTACATTTTCTAAACATAGTACTCATATGTAACACTCCAATGTAACACCAAAAAATCACGCTAACAGAAATGTAAATTTTCACGCTCAACAACTAACACTTCAACCACCAATCCTCTCAAAAATAATCTTCTGCACCTTACATTTTCATTCTCATCCCAAAAACCGAATCAAAAAATTGAAAAAATGAATCACAAAAAAAGTTTAGAAAGATGGTTAAAAGCCAATTTTTTTTTTGGCTTTTTTTTTTTTTTTTGAAAAAACGTGTAAAAATGTGATTCAAAATGAGTTAAAAGTTGGCTTTTGACTACTAACTCATTTCTACCAAAAGAGCAACCAAATTAAATAAATACAACTTTTCAAACTAAAAAGAACTAATTGATTTATAAGGAAACTCTTAAAATTAAATACATCAATATTCCCACTTCCAAAATTTTTTGGTAAATTTTTAAAAAGCGTACCTCCCAAACGGAGCCAATATCAGGTATTAAAGAGTATTTTAGTAATGAGAATGTGGCATTAGAGTTTGTTTTATTTTCTCCAATGACAACGACACGTTGCAATTAAGTTTGGTGTGGTCTCAGGTCAAGTTTTGATCTCTGCATTTTCAATTGACTCAATTATGACCGTTTATATTAGATTTTATGTCAATTTAATTCAATTAATAATATCATTATTATTTTTTATGGATATTTATTACTAAATTGATTGAGGTTAACTCACTTAATTAAGTAAATTTATAATTTTACTTTTAAAAATATGACATATGACACTTATGTACGTATTTTTTATAAAATAAATAAATTAATTAATTAATTAAAAATTGTAATCAATTGGATTAAATTGAGACGAAGTCATAAATTCATAATCAAAATCTAGTCAATTAAAATTACAGAGACCAAAATGATATAAAAACCAAAAAATATAGGAACTATCGTCGTAATTTGTCCTATTAAAAGATATGAGTCTCTTTTGTCCATACATATTTAAGAGTTTTAAATAAATTAAGAAGAATAATTATAAATTATAATTTTAGAAAATTTAACTTTCCGTAGTTAATTAAGTTACAAAGGTCAAATAAATTATTATAATATAAATGTACAAGGAACATTAATTAACCTTTCCTTCCACACAAATATATTACTTGAGTTAACCTATAATAATGAGTAAACAAATTGAAAAGAAAACACAAGTACTTTGGACAGAACCAATCGACACTACTCTTGGAAAAAAAATAAAAAAATAATAATAATTTAATCCATGTATCTTTTGAATGCTTTTTGATTTGGAACAGTGCGAATTTATGTCATAATGCTTTTGGTATCTATGGATTGGTGTTTAGCTGTGAGTTAGTTGCTGCAATTATGGCTCTTTATAGTAGTGGAGAGCCCAAGCTTACTTTTATTTTTGATTGTGGTTATTTGGTAGTCTCAAAACATAGTTACATCATATTTTATGATAATATGATTAGGAAAAAAAATAAAATATTAATTATTTATATTAAATAATAAAAGAATATAATAAATAATAATTAAAAATATGATGATGTAATATTCTAAAATTATTATATAATTTTCCGACTCATTATGATATTACAGTTGTTATTTATAACCACCACTCAAGTGGTCTTCATTGTGGGTCAAGCAATGTTTTGTCATGATGATTTTCTTTTGGGATTGGATTGTCTGCAATTGGGCAGTCTAGTTGGACTGTCCAATTCGGCTAATTTAGTACCCGTTTTGAGTATGTCTTGATAATTCAAATTGTTCAATATGTAAAATTTGTTGAATATTTCATCTTTATAAAAAATTAAGTTGATCAAATATCAATAACCGGTTGATCAAATCATATTTCTGTCAATAATTTTTTTTAAATCATATTTATCGTTGACAGAAATGTAAACTGATCAAGTGGTTATCGATATCTGATCAACGTAATTTTAGAAGAATGAAGTACTCGACGAGTTTTACATATTAAACAGTTAGGATCATCAATTTAGGCTCCGTGATAGGCTCAAGAAGACTCAAACAACACAGTCCAATTTGATTAAAACTGTAGACAATCTTAGGCTTTTTTTTTTTTTTTTTTACTGTTCTTGTTTTTTTTTTTTTTTTGTTATTGTGTTTTTTCTTATAGTAATTAAAAGTGACTTGATTATGATTTAATTATAATAAATCCTAAAAATAAGATATGAATTATATAATTTCTTTTAAATTCATGTCAATGGTACTTTGCAACGGGGGTGTTTGGGAATCAAAAGTTGAGGCTAAAATAGCGTTCAATACAAAAAAATCCTTTTAGCCCCACTCTAATCCATTGATTTAACACCAAAATATATATATATAGAATAGCACTCAGTGGTTTCAGCCTACACTGTTAACGTGACAGTGTAGGGACAAGTAGTGACAGCCCATCATTTCAGAAGTAAATGACAATTTTGCCCATTTAGACCTATTTTGAAAAAAATGAGGTTAGGGGCAAATTTGTCATTTCAACTTCAAACATCATTTCAAACACATTTTTCAATACACAACTCAAATAAAAATCCATCCTATCTTTTCAAACACAAAATCTAAAATAACATACTAAAATAATCAAAAAACTTCTAAAATAGCTACTTCCCAAACACCTCCAATATGTTGCTTGGGCATTGTCTCTCATAGTTTTTATTGCATTGAGGCTCCATTTGGCAAGGAGGTTTGAGGCTATTTTAGCCACAAAAGACAAAATAGGCTATTTTAGCCATAACAAACAAAGCATCGCATCCAACCCATAATCATTACACTCTTTTCTCACAAAAAAAAAAAAAAAAAAACAAAAAAGCCAAAAAGCCTTTTCTAAACCAAGCTTTTTAGTCCAAGTTAAAATAGCCAAAAAGACAACTCACTTCCCAAATTGAGGCTGATCTTATTATGTGATAAATAAAAAAGGAAACATAATTTTGGGGGTTTTTTTTTTCTTCTTCCCCTTTGATTCATCCTGTTTTGGTATACAAACTTGCTCTTATCATTAATTAAGAAAATTATTAAGGATGACACACCAATAAATCTCAAATAGTGATATTATAAATTGTTTGATCATCTCTCTTTTCTTATAGACCCAAAGGTCTCATTCTAATGTGAATTACATAAAGGGCCAGGTATAAATGCGCATGTGTTAAGTATTAAGGGACAAATGTAAATTTTCTCATAATGTTAAAATTACTAAATGTAACACTTCAAAAAAGTTTCTTAGTATATTTTTCCCAAACGTAACACTCAAAAAATGTAAGTCTCCAATGTGATACACTAAAGTGTACTTTTCTCAAACATAACAATATAACATTTTTAAAAAACTCCTTAATATACTTTTCTCAAACGTAACACTCCAATCAATGTAACATATTAAAAAACTTCTTAGTATATTTTTCTCAAATGTAAGAATATAACATTTCAAAAAACCTCCTTAGTGTAATTATTTCAAACGAAACACTCTAATCAATATAACACACAAAAACTCTTTAGTGTACTTTTTTCAAACATAACATTTCAATGTAACACACTAAAAAATTCCTTAGTATACTTTTCTTAAACATAATAACGTGACATTAAAAAAAAAAAACTTTGTATATTTTTCCCAAACTTGATGCTCCAATCAATGTCAAATACAAAAACTTCTTAGTATACTTTTTTCAAACGTAACATTCTAATGTAACACTCCAATATAACACCAGAAAATCACAATGACAGAAATATCACAATGACAGAAATATAAATTTTCACGCTCGACAACTAACACGTTAGTCACCAATCCCCCAAAAAGAATCTTCCACTTTCCATTCACATCCCAAAAATAAATCAAAAAATTAAAAAAAAAAAACGAATCACAAAAAGACATTTATTTAAACTCAAATGGTATCAAATCAAATAAATATAACTTTTCAAAACAAAAATGACTAATTGGTTAATGAAAAAACTCCATGGACTAAAAGGATCAACATTCCCTCATATGAAATTTATAGGTAAAATATTTAATTATTAATTTAAATTTAATGCCTAATTAAATAATGTAATTATTTTTGTATGATTGGCTTCATGCAATACACTTATCACATTTATTATTAAATTGTACCATTTATTGTTCTTTGACAGCAATGGCTGCGGGACTTCCGTTTCTCAATCCATATAAGAACATTGATGCTGACTTTAGACATGGAGTGAATTTCGCAGTAGCTGGCTCTACTGCATTACCAATCGAAGTTCTCGCTAATCAGAACATTTCATCCCCATTAACCAGTAGCTCACTTACCGTCCAACTTGATTCAATGTTCACCCATTTCAATTCTATCTGCTACACAGAAAAAGGTTGGTAGTACTCACTCAAATTAAATATATGAGTTGATGTTAAAAATAAGTGAATTATATCATATTTGCTTGTTTGTGTTTGACAGATTGTATGGAGAAACTTAAAAATTCTCTATTCATGGTTGGAGAGATAGGAGGCAGTGATTACAATTATGCATTGTTTCAAGGCAAAAACATTAATGAAGTAAAAGAAATTGTGCCAAGCGTTATTCAAGCCATAAAGAATGCGGTTAGAGTAAGTTATTTTGAAAGCATTTTTCATTGACCTTTATTTGAGGTATATATTAATTATTTGACATCAAATCTAAATCCAATTCTGTAATAACTTATATGGATTGCAGACAGTGATTCATTATGGGGCTGTTAGAGTGGTAGTCTCCGGTAATTTTCCCATAGGTTGTCTTCCTATTTATCTTACTGGATTTCAGACCGAGGACCATGCAGCTTATGATGAGAATCTATGTTTGAAAGAACTAAATAGCTTTTCGATGTATCACAATGAGCGTTTACAACATGCTATTGAAGACTTGAAGATAGAGTTTCCTAATGCAGTTATTGTGTACGGTGATTATTACAATGCATTCCAGTGGCTTTTCAAAAATGCTCCCTATCGTGGTGAGTCTTTACACCTTACAAACAAATGGGTGTTTTGGGAAGATGGTTAAAAAGCTGCTTTTTGGCTTTGTTTTTATTTTTTTGTGAGAGAGGAAAGTGGGTTAAAAGCTGTAAAGTGACTTTTAACCCACTTCCCAAAATAGCCCAAAATGAGACAATATATATATATAGCAGTAAGTTGATAATAAAGATTATTTATAATTATTAATTCTCTTCACTCTTACAGGATTTGATGCCATGTCTACAAAGAAAGCTTGTTGTGGAATTGGAGGTGACTACAACTTTAGTGTCACCCAAATGTGTGGGGCTCCAAATGTTACAGTTTGTTCCAATCCCAATCAACACATAAGTTGGGATGGAGTTCACTTGACACAAGAGGCCTATAAGATCATGACTGGATGGCTCATTCATGATTTCTTACCAAAGCTTCAATGCAGTTGGTCTTGATTAATTAGACTTGTAATTAAAGTGGTTAAGAGTTTTTGGTATTTGGCTTTGGGATGATTTGCTTTCTTCATAATTGTCATCTTTGTTAGATTTTGCTTTGGAGTTTATGATTTGAAGTTTTTATGAGTTGATAAATTTGACTTGGAATTAGCAAAGATAAGAAACATAGATTCAAGTTGTTTCATAGGCTTCACCATTTTATAAAGCATTGTCTCAAACAATTTGTTTTAAGAACCCGTGTGAAACTTGGCATGATTGCTTCTTTATAGTGGGGCTAACAATCTTGAGCTAATCATATTCAATCATGTTTGTGGGCTTCAGTTTATGTTTCGGCTTATACATCATTTTTGTATACTATATTTTATCGTAGTTGTGTATATTACTCAAGTACTAGTCATTAGATTTAGAATTTAAATTAATTAGGAAGAGTCCTCACACATTAATCATAATAAACTAATATTGTTTACTAATTATTAAAAATCAACAACTTAACATGTATCACGATATGATTAGAATGCAAAATCAAAAATTCATTATAACTTCTAGCACAAAGTCGGCAAGCAATACCCATTTTTTAATGAAGACCAAAATTCATTATAACTTGTGACACGAAGCTGGCAAAAAAATAAGGAAAATATTAATTAATGCAAGTTTTATTATAACTTGTAACACAAAGTCAAAGAAAATATATATATATTAATACAAGTTAAATTTCAAATCATCCTAAAAGAAGAATTATAAATTATTAACCCAAATTGAAAAAGTAATAAGTCAACTTAAATGTGATATTCTAATAAAAAAATCTATTTTTTTAACCATGTTGCTTGTCAGTTGACACATAGCAAAAAACATATACATGCTCTAGTGAACGTGAACATTAGACGAGAAAGGTCGTATTTGGATTGTATCTCAAAGTCGTTACATTTTAATTGTATTTGCATATGGAGACAAAAAGTGACTTTAGGTAATTCCACGCCTGTCAATGTCTCATATCACCTCCTTCTTAGTCCCTATTAATTTACTTACATTCTTATTTCATACGTTATTTATCTCTTAATCATGTCATTGATTAAATTGTATTATTACAAAGTATTTTTCTAATACTAGCCACATTGTGCATGGCGATAAACAGCATCTTTTTGTATTTGGCTTCCTTCAATATCTTACTTTGTAAGGTTCTCTAAATGAATTTCTTGATTTTGAATTGCTTTTTGTAGCCTTGCCTTTAATTATTTTAAAATGATGTCACAAAATTAAAACAAAATTGTTATAATTATTTAAATATAAAAATCGGAGAGTAAATATAGTTTTGAAATAATTGTATGTCTAACTAAATTCACCTAACTTTCCCTAGTCAAAATATTTTTGAGGAAGCAATTTGAATGAATTACTAAATTTTAGACTAATCGCGCAGAAGATTGATAATTTTGACAATAAAAATATTCTCAATAGTATTCTACCAAAATTTTAGACGAGGAAGGCATTCTAACATTTCTTGCTTAATATTGGTTGAATGGCTGCCTTCCACATGTTTTTTTATATAGCCCATGATAGTTGGATGGAGAGAGAGCTTTTAACAGTATAATTAATTAAACTGTGACTCACAAGAGTTTTAAAAGGGTGAGAATTAATCAAAGATCATGCTTTTGGGTCTTTCACACTATGCACATGAACATGCAACTCTACAAATGGGGGCATGCTCATATGTTTACTATGAATCTTCCCTCCAAATGCAATTTCCATTTTTCTCTTTTATTGGTTTCAATGCATTTCAAATTAATCACACACCATTCCTGACCTTAATTACTAACATTTCCCATCAGTTTTTTTCTTTTTTCTTTTTCTTTTTTTTCTAATTCTTCTTCTGAAGTTTTTAATTGGGTTAATTACACTTAATACCCCTACATTTTATTGTAATTTCACTTTGGTCCCTTCACTTTTAATTGTGACAATCAATCCTCTACACTTTATGTCAAGTTGCAATATCACCCTTTTACCAATCTCTCCAAACACTGCAAAAATGATGAGAACCATAAAAACACTAGAACCAAATTGACAACTTTGAATACCAAAATAACAAAATTGAGTGCATTTTTTGAGATAATCTAAATAATATACTTTTTGATCTTTTATCAATTAAACCCTCGAATATATAAAACAAAATAAATTTAAATATCTAATTATAATTTCCATCATTCAATATGGTTTCACAAATCTCAAAAAATGATATTTTTTCTCAAAACATGTATGATCTAGATTTTTACTTGCACGGTTTTCAACCTACTACTAGTTTATCAATCCTGTTGAAATTAATCTGGGAGATAAGTTAGCTACAATTGCTAAGAGAAATAAAGAGAGTAGATTCAAAATTTTGGACTCAATTCTAGGACCGACTCGAGGTAATTTAAGGCTTAAACTATCAATTTTAAATTAGATAGACATTTTTTAAATAAATTTTTTGTAAAGTTTATTATTTAAAATTTATTTTGGTTGTTTTTTAGATTAAAATTAGGGCAAACTTCACTTTACCCTTCTGTGGTTTGGGCCGGATGCGGTTTACCCCCTTGATATTCAGAAATTATCACATAACCCCCTTGTGGTTGATGGACTAAAACGCATACTAACTTCTGTTAACAGAAGTTGTAAATTGATAATTATACCTTCATCTTCATCTTCATCTTGTTCTTCTCTCTCACCGTTTCAGGGAAAACCCAGTTCTCTCTCTCCACCTTCATCTTCTTCTTCTCTCTCTCTCCATTTCAAACTTTATATGTGTACATACATATGCATAAACAATCTCATCTTCATTTTTTTTTTCTCTTTCTCCACTTCAAACTTTGTTCCTTGTTCTGTTCCGATTTAGACTTGAGTTTCTTCTTCAACACCTTTACGTATTATTTTCTTCTTCAACACCTTTATTAAAACCCATAATAATCACAATTAAATTTAATGATATTGGATATGCATATATATATATATATATATAAAGAATAATCTAATTATTACTTGAGAAATTATACAAACACTTTTTAGTTGTACTTGCCTCAGATTCGAACCAAAATGAGATCAAGAAAAAGTTTGATTGGATTGTATATATAAATATGCATATATATATATATATATATATATAAAGTTTGATTAAGAAGTTATAAACAATGCCATCAATATCCAGATCTATAAACTTCTACCCAGGAAAAAAAAAATGAAAGATGGTTTGATCTAAATTCTATAATTTCTTTATTTGATGAATATAATTAATTGAATGATTTGGTGATAAATATTGAACCAGTTTCAGTTTATGCATATGCAAGCTCATCTTTACTGTATATATGTGTGTGTGTGTGTGAGTAAAATATAATTTTGGGTATGAAACAATTTGATGTGGGAGGAGGTTTAAGGATGGCGTGTGAGGAGAGGGGCTGCGGTGGTGGTGCGATGGATATGGGTGGTGGTTTGAGGGGAGGAGAGAGAGAAAGAGAGAAAAGATGTGAAGAAAAAAGAAGGTTGAAAATAGAATGGCATCTTTGTAAACTTGAAGAGGTAAAAAGGATATTTTCGTTGTAAAAATGGACTCACTCTGTATAAAGACGCGTGACTTTCACATTTTGTTATCTTAGACAGAAAAGTTAATTGTGTGTTTTAGTCCATCAACCACATGGGAGTTATGTGGTGATTTCCGAATGTCTGGGAGATAAACCACACCCGGCCCAAACTATAGGGGGGTAAAGTGAAGTTTGCCCTTAAAATTATTATATATTTGAGATCTAATTGCTATTTTGAGGATAATTTAGAGGTAAAATGAAACTTCAAGTGAAGTTTTGGTGTCATATCAGTAACTTCTGTTTGATTATTGATAGCAGCTTACAGCTGAAGTAAAATTGATCTCAAATTGAATAGTTTAGTTGTAAAATTGACATTATTAAAAGAACAAAAGGTTGAATTGATTTTTGAATAATAGTTTAGAAGGCAAAATAAAATTTCCTTAATGATGTAGTTCAATATAAACCATTCATTCTAAAACAAAGAGTCATTCTAATATATGGGTAATACTATATATGGTACACATCCTACTTAGAAATGACATAATTTGAATATGGTACACTTATGCAACTTATGTCATTTGTGAATTTTATTATCACAAATAACATAACTCAATACTATGAGAGTCATAACTAAATGGGGGATTTTTTTTAAGGTCCCTGATATTAAGAATTTATAACATAAAGGACACTCAATATTTTCATAATGTCTAAGGTCCTTCAACATCAATCTAGAGAAAATTCGATCCAGAGAAAATTCGATCCAGAGAAAATTTGGTCCAGAGAATTTCTCTGGAAAATCCAGAGAAATTCTCTCCAGACATCCAGAGAAATTCTCTTTATCCAGAGAAAATTCAGATAGTCCAGAAAAAATTTAGACATCCAGAGAAAATTCAGATAGTTCAGAGAAAATTCACAAAATCCAAGAAACTCTGCATCATCATGCATTTTATATGTTCTCTTACAAATATCTTTTCATGAAGAGTTGTTATCAAAATTCTGTTTGCTAATCCTAGTGCTCTTTGTAGATCAAATCCAACAAGATGAGGTGGTTGACAGTAAGATCTTGCAATACCCTAGCATAGACAAGAAAGAAAAGAAGTCATTCCCTAGACTTCCAGAGAAAATTCAACTTCAAAGAGAAAATTAGTCCAGAGAAATTCTGGGAAGAATTTCTCTGGACTTTCCAATTTCTCTAACATTCCCTAGATTCCCACTGTAAATTTCTCTGGCCTTCCATTCTCTCCAGAGAAATTTCCATTCTCTCCAGAGAAATTGTAATGTGTTTCATCTTGTTTGAACATGCTATATTGTTGATATTGATTCAGAAATTCTACAATTGTTTGGGAAATTCCTATCATTTTCTTTGAATGAATTCAATAAATTTTTGTTGTACTTATCTACAAATTTTCCAGGGTATATCTATCCTTACGTAATTCCAAATTTCTCTAGACTTCTTTTCAAATTTATCTGGACTTCCCACTGTCCAGAGAAATTCTCGCCAAATTTCTCTGGATTTCCCACTGTAATTTCTTTGGACAAAGTAAGTTCAAGTCTCATCTTACCCTAAACTCTCTCTCACTCTCTAATATTTTTTCTTTGGATATATGGTTGTAGAAGAAGCTTCTGATTCTCCAAATTTCTCATAGCCATTATTGGTCATTCAAAATCAAAGAATTTCTCTAGTTACCTACC